TAAGTAGCAAAGCCCTTTATCTGACCAAGGGTTTGTAATTGTGAGAGAGCTACAAGCTCTCACTCTTTAAACTCAATGATTCATGCACCTATAGGCTGCTATAATTTGGGATCTCTTTCCCTGTATTCTCTCTATTTCTCTGCCTTGAATCCTGTCTTGCCTTGAGGTCTGATCTTGCAGGATCTCTAACTCTAGAAACAGATCCACTGCCCTTGGGGGCAAAATTGTACCCTCAACCAGTAACTCATGCCTGTTTAAGACTTTTTAGTAGTGCTGTAATTGTGCTAGAGGGAAAGGTTTCAGTTGTTTTCAAGGGGTGTAGTTGCTGAGATATAACACACACTGCCATAGACTATTCCATCCGGCCCTTGTTTTGTAGGACAGCTGGAGCATAATTCCCAAGAGGCTGCACTTGGCCATGCCCATTAAGTCTATATTGTTATATTATTGATAGAGTGCTTTCAGCCAGGGTGTAGACTGAACTTTTAATGAGTGAGAATAATTGAGTGCAGGAGTTACGACTCATTTCAGAACAATAACATGACATCTGGCCATAAAAGTTAACCAGTTCCACTGGTTGCATAAATGTTTGTTTAGATATTCCTTGAGGGATCTTTCATGGTAAAGTGTTTTTTCTGCTAAGTTCATGATAAGTTAAGAAGATCATAATTTAATCAAAGGAGAGTTCTTGCTATGTTTGGCAGGTCAATAACCATTCCACTATAGGTATGTTTGATGAGTCAACAGTAATTTTTAACTGAATGTCTTAATCACAAGAACAGTTGGAATGGAAGAAGGGAAAATCTAAACTAATTAAATCTTTCTAGTCTAAAAATAAAATTGGGGGAAATGCACCATTTTGTTAAAACAGTCTATTTCTCTGTAAGAGATTATTCTTGTCATGATTGACTATTCCCATAATGAAGGCAGTGCTATGACTAAAATGAGGATGACGATATATTAATAAAAGATGAACAGTCTTCTGTGTAGCTAACAACTTAGAATTTAATCCATACCCCAGGATTAATTAGGATATGGAAGTCTGGCAAAACACTGTGTAGAATTTCAATGTTTTTATTTTTCCTAAAACATAAAATAGTCTTCTATCATATCATATGAATGTATATATATGTACATACACACACATATATTTACCATTTCTCTGGATTATGGTGTCATTTATATTACATGATATATAGGCCGTATATGATATGATATTTGGCATAGGCCAATCCTGTCTAGACATTCAAAACTACCAGGTATAATAGTGACAGTTGTGTTGTAAAACCCCTAGATAATTAGATGTTGATCCTTTAAGTACATACATTTCTAATAATTTTAATCTGTTCCCTTGGGCAAAAAGTGTTTCTTCATGGTTTCAATAACTCAGACAACATTGTCATTTTTTAAAGATATTTTTGTTACAACCATGGTGCTCAGCCAAGACTGACATCCTTTTCTGTGGTGCGTGCCATGCAAAGAGTAATGATAAAATCCAGGATGCAGTTATGCTGTCCTTGACTCCTGTCAACATAATTGCATCTTTGGTTTTATCACTTCTCTCTGAAAAAGAGATCTCTACTAATGACAGAGAAATAGTGAGAAATTCCTGAAAATTACCACTGTAAAATGAGTTTCACTTTAATGCTAAGGCCAACACAGTCTGTAATGCCTCAATTTGATGGAACTTTCCTGGATGATACTGTCTACAACAGAGATATGTAGAGTTTGTAGCAGTTCCTGCCAATTAAAATATAGTGTTAATATACTCTATTAACATTAGTATAAGTGTTAAAATAGAGATAGCAGAGCATTGGATGACAGTATTGTGGCAAGTAGCATAGTGGATAGGCAGGGAATACAAAAGCATAAATATACATAATGTCACATGGGATTTTAATTATTATTTACACTGATTTAATAAAGATTAAAATGTATGCTTTACCAGAGAAAGTGAAGACAAACAAAATATAAACACTGAAATATCAACTAAACTGGCATCATGTTTGCATCTTTTTATTGCCTGGACGTTGTTGAAGGACCCGAAGTAGCAGAATTAGGACTCAGAGATACCATCTGGTTCTCCCAGCTTAACAAGTTACTCCTTGTCAGCTGAACCCTGCTAACTACCTACCCGTGGGTGGCAAACACAAGCTAATATGGTTTATATTAACTGCCCGTAACTGTTGTCTTAGCTAAGAGAGATTGCATCACGCCGGCTCTAGGCTAAGTACGCGTCCCTGGACACCTCTGCCTGCAGCAAATCTCTGAGTCACCGTAACCTGGTTGCGTGCCTGAAGGGATCACCTGGCATCCTCAAATAAGTCTAGCAGTGATCTCTTAAGACATGACCAGCCAAAATTATTCACCTTCCTTCATGGCAGTTCTTAGTATTCCTGCAGCAGAGCTGCAAACGAGCAGTCCATCCACACCTCCCTGCCCCAGTGCCTTCAGATGCCAATGAAGTCAAACCAGTGCAGACACATAGCTCAGGACATGGCAACAGTCCTCCAAAAAGGTGGAGCAAGGCAGGGCTGAGAGCCTTATCCCACCGCAGGAGCATTCAGCAGACAGTGTCTATAAAGGCCGATTCACCATGGAGTTAGGAGATCCGGGTACAGCTTTCATTCAGCAAGACACTTCAGTCTGTGCTTCTCTTTAGCCCAGTGAATCATCCCTCTAAATGCAACAAAGCCTCCTACATGCTCACCCCACATCTGAACACCTCGCTTGTAACCCTACTGCCATCCCGGGGTGACCTTGATTAAACCTTTGAGGAGCTCATTGTACCAGAGTGATGCCGGGGCCAAGAATTTAGCCAGGTTCAAAGAAGAATTGGAAACTTAAACAAACAACATGATTATCCAGAGCTATTTCTAGCTAAAGCTAACAAAAACTTCGTAAGAGACATAAAGCCTCATGCTTCTGGGTGTATGCCAATCTCTAACTACACTTACTAATAGCCTAACACCTCCAGTTACCTAATACCTGCTCCCAGTGATCTTCCATGACCTGTTCTCTGAGCATTGGCCATCATCAAAGATGGATGAAAGATCAGATGTAATTTCAACCTCATCCAAAACACCAATTTCATCATTTCCTAAATTGCTAAATCCTCTCAGCCTGTTCTTTTTTTTAACCTCTAAAATGGGAAATCTTCAACTTTACAGGGAAATTGTGAGTGCTTAGAAGTGCTTAGGTATTGGATCCTCTCTGAAAATAGCAGTGCTTTGAAGGTAAGATTCACAGAGCTTATGCTACCTGTAGCAACAATAATAAGCTTCAATCATGCAAAGGTCATAGCTGATTTGAGTGCACTAGTTTGATTCTCAAATTGTAGTATTTGATGATGTCTGTAGCTAACAATGCTAAGTCCTTTAAAATTTTTTCTCCAAACAGAAAGATTCAAATTACAGCTTGTTTTTGGAAAGATAATTTATCTTATTGAAAAAAAGGCCTCTTATTAAAAATAAAAAGTTTTAAGGAAAGCAAGACATTTCTCTCCTCAATTTACTTGTTTCCACTTTCTCTGTGTGCATATATACAAACTTTGAAGTTTGACTTTAAAGACTGATTATAAAAGATCGCATAGCATAAGTGTTCTGAATTCTTTGTCTACTAGAATCCAGCTTTTTGGATAGATGACAAATTTCTAATACCATTTCAGTGTACATTCAGATAAGAACTCCATCAAATAATATTTCAGTAAAGTGTAAAATAAAGATCGCATAACATAAGTGTTCTGAATTCTTTGTCTACTAGAATCCAGCTTTTTGGATAGATGACAAATTTCTAATACCATTTCAGTGTACATTCAGATAAGAACTCCATCAAATAGTATTTCAGTAAAGTGTTTTCATTTTATCAAGATCATCAATAAATGTGAAAATAATTCATGGATGAGCTTCACATAATATTAAAGTACTGGGGGTTTGCTACCAAAACTGTTGAAAGAATCAATGACCTCTAAGTAGTGCACAGGGGTCTCCAGCTAAGCTGCCAAGTTGAAACTCTCACTGTGTTCTCTGTTTAAGTCATAGGGTCAATCGTGTCAGTGAAATTATTTACTCAAATGTGTTCATTTGTTTGCAAGTTTGATATCACTTATTTTGGAAAAGAGAAGACTGTTGAGACGCTGGCATTCATATGCTCTAATGCTGTTACGCTTTCATAACTTCTGATTATCGGAGTCATGGGATAAATCTGGATTTTTTTGAATTTTAGTCCATTTGTATGAAAAAAACAAAGCATGAGCTGTGTGCTGAATTCATTAGATGTGAGCATGCTTATAGGTACAGACAGACAATCACAATTTTGTTAATGAAACTTAAAAATATGTATCTGTTATAATTAAATTCACACAGCCCTGCTAGCATGAACACATAGAAAGATGTTTTATATTGCTATAACTGCCACTTCTAGTGATATAGCTGCATTCACACTGACTTACATTGATTAAAACCAAGTCACATCTAAAGTTAAAGTCACACCGGTTTAATTTTTGCACTTCACTGGAGGCGTGAAGCCTCTGAAAGGAGATTTCTGCTTTTTTGCAGTGACTGGCATTTTAAAGATGTCTGGAAACAAGCATAGGGTGATAAATTATCACCGAGAAGACAGTGATTAAAACAAGTATGTAAAACCAGTGCACAACAGAAACACTGTCCTTCCAGCGAGGAGCGAAACAGGGAACGGGGACTTTTGCATGACTTTTTCTGCAAAGCCTTTAGTAGCCAGACTAATCCCAGACACACCTCGTGCTGACCTTTCCACACATACGCACAAAACTTTCTGGGAGACTTTCTTCCCCCAGTCCCCTGCTTACTTCATCTCCCAGCAGGGCTGCCGGCTGGACCTGGTGATCCTGCTTCCGTACAAAGGCAAAGAGCCTCCACCTACCTTCTCTCCTTCCCTCCCCGGTTCCTCACTCCCTCTCTCCCCCTCGGGCTGGCAGGATTCCTCGGGCAGAGCATGCAAGGAGTTCGCAGGGAGCAGCCACAGCCACAGGAAAGATGCAGAAGTACAGTCAGAAGGAGCACCTCTACAAGCTGCTGGTGATCGGGGACCTGGGAGTGGGCAAAACCAGCATCATCAAACGTTATGTCCACCAGAACTTCTCCCCCCACTACCGGGCCACCATCGGGGTGGACTTTGCCTTGAAGGTGCTGAGCTGGGATCCTGAGACTGTGGTACGGCTGCAGCTGTGGGATATTGCGGGTGAGTACGGAGGAGAACCCTTTGCTCCATAAGACAATGCAAAATATAGACCCAAAGTCATTTGTACTAATCTTTTAGTTGGAAACTACCAGTGCCCACACAGTGGGGGAGAGGAGATTGAGGAGAGAAAAGCTGAAGGGCAGATTGAAATTTTGGAGCTTCCCTAAGGCCAGCACACTCCCAAACAAGGAGTGTCAGAGCGAAACCTGCCCTGTCGGGTTTTTCTCCCAACCCCTTAGACATGTGTGGGGACATGGGCACCTCTCTCCAAATGCCCCAGTTCTTCCCCTGCAGCTGCTGCTGTTCAGCTTCCCTCATTAGACTAACAGATAGAGCTCTGTGGTAGGAGGGAGAGCAACAAGAATTTCCTGTTACATCTACTTAATTTGGTGGAAGAGATGAGGCATTCCATAAGATGGTTAAAATTATTTTTATAGTTTAAAAAATAAGGAAAAAAACTATCACTGAGTTACTTTATCGAAATACCTTCTTTCTTCCTTTCCTTCCTCTCTCTCCTACCTTCCTTCCTTTGGCCCAATGAAATGTAAACAACTTCTGACATGCTTTGAAAAGAGAAGCGTTTCCATTTGGCAATAATCCTGGTTGCTAAAAATATATTTACTCATGTTTACTTGTCCTTATTCCAACATCAAGCAAAAAAAAAATAATTTACTCTCTGCTGGGAGAAGAAGAATAAAGAAGTCCAGCATGCTTGCATGCTTACATAATTAAAAAAATAAAGAAATTGACATTGTTGCTGTCAGTGCTTCAGCTTTTTTATATTTGGCTTCAACCAACCACAACTTTTTTTTTTTTGCCACCCCATTTACTAGGAATTAATCATTTTTGATTCAGTCCTCAAAATAACAGTTTATCTTGGTGGCATATTTCTCATGCTGTAAGCAATCATCTTCACTTTAGTGTATGTAGGAAGCCAAGTACAGCTAGAAAACAATAGGTTACAGCAAAAAGGAGGGCATTTTTAAAAGTCTATTAAATTAAGAAGTTAGGTTTGTTAAGTAAGGAATAGAGGTGAACATTATATCAGCTGTTAGGCAACTGTGCCAGCCTGTGGCCTGAGCTGCGGGTTCAGTGATCTAGTCTGGAACGGCACTGAGTAAAACTAGTGAAATGAGAAAATTCTTGACATTCTTATCGGCAGAAGGAGTGCCTTTCTTCTACACTTAGCTGCCTCATGTCTGAGCTCTGAATTTGGCACCAAGGTACTAAAACTTATGCAACAACACTACTTTATGCAAAGCATGCATAACCTCAGCTTTCTTCCACATCAGTGTAGTCTTGTGTGTTTATGGTCTTAAATACATATATGCTCAGTTTGTTTTATTAAAAGTTGGAATAATAGGGAAAGCATTGCTTTTATTGCTCACCGGTGACCAATTGTAATAATAAATAGATATGCATCCAGCAAAACTTTTCTGTATAAGAAAAGAACATCTAATAGTAAATTCTGAATGCATCAGGGAGTGAAAGAAAGAATTTTTTAATGCCTTGTTTCAGAGATTTATTACACTACTAATCATGTGCTGGCGGATCATATGATGTAGCTTTCAGTCAGGCTGCAGAAGCAATTACACCGAGTTGTAGTACTGAATGACTAGCATGCTTTCTGAGTTATCACACATGACAGAGAGAATTACAGCACCGTACTAAATTTCATATGAATTGCTCAATTCAAAGCACCTCTGTGAAGGTCAAGACAGCGGTCGGTAATAAAAAGAGTTCGTGTCTCAGTTTTAATGACTTCTGTGTAAGGAGCTTTAGCTGTTGATAGATACACATAGAAAACAAGTTCTGTAAGCAGCACACTGAATTCAGATTAGTGTGGTGCTGGCACAGGCGTTACCATGAGTAAGGCAACCAGCTGGTGAGAAAGAATGTTTAAAAATGAAAGTGGAGTAAAAATCATTAGAAATATGGTTGATCATACATCACCCCTTGTAAAACACAAATATGCGAAGATAAGGAGGAAAATAAATGCTCTGGTCTCAGAACACCCTCTCTTTTTTGGTAGATCTCTGATACTAGGTCCTGTTTATCTTTGGGGGCAAAGCAATAAATTTTTGGTCTCTAACCAAGCTGAAGGATGTTGGCTTAGCATTTAGGATATCTTGAATGTAAGCAAATGCTGCAAACGTATCAATGTATGAATAGATATGTATATATGTGCATGAATGTCTATATGTATATGTCTCAGGTATCATTTTAGATCTTACATCCTTTCCTCCCTCTCCATTATACAGCAAATGAACTTACTGCTAAGGGTAATGTGTGCTCTTCCTTGCACTTCACTGTGTGGGTAGTAAATTGTTTATAAAACTAGAAATTATTTTCTCAAATATGTTTTGAGTAAAACTAGTGTCAAGCTTATCTTCATAGGAGGGGGGAAATATTCCAGCCATGGTAAGGCAAGCAGTTTACCCTTTACAGACATAAGAAGAAAAAGGAAATTTGGTTCACCTAGTGCTGTCTAATTTCATAGTTAAATGTAGTCTCTATTTCTGTAACAGTTCATATTTCTATGTTCTTTAATTTGGTAAACAAAACTATAACAAAATCTGATAAAACTGTATTTATTTAGATCAAAGATAAATGTTGAAAATAAGGATAACTAGCATTAGAACATAAATTAAAGGATAAGGTAGGTCCTGCATCACATATTATTACATTGACTTGTGTTCCTTTAACACATAATATATTGCTGAAGCTATAGGTGTTAGACAGGAATAATTGGACAAAACATCATAAACAAAATGGTTTATGATGTTATGATATCTCTAACAACACACTGGCATTAAAATCTATGATTTTTTGTCTGATTCAGTGAAGTGCCTAAATTTCAAGTGACTGAATTTTCACTACTGTGTGTGGGCAGAGATATACACGGTAAAATTCTCCTCGTCTTTAATTTCCTCCCAACAGTTCCATTTTATTTCACTGAAAAGTCCCAAATTCCCAGTTTCGGTGTTCATGTCCCCGTTGAAGTGTGCCACCACCTCTACTACTGTGTCATACATCTTTAAGTCTTGCTCCTTGGTCAATTTTGGTTTTTTCCCTCATCTTTTCTGCTGCCTCGTTGTGAGTATACTACAAATTCACTAGCAGATTGTTAGAAGGAAAGCTTTGGAAGAAACTCTTAATCTTATTTTGAGCCAGGCGGCTGTGGTGGGGGTGGCCCTGCAGATGCGGGCTGGGACCACTTTTGAAGAAACCGGCTATTGCAGATAACTGATCTGCATGTATTTCCTGTTCACTTCTCTGCAAGGCTGCTCTCAGTGCTGCTGCCCCTTTTTCATGTCTGTACAGCCCTGAGATTTCTCTGAAGACCAGATTTAGCTGCAGATTTACTGCCGGGAGCAGCTCTGTGAGTGCAGCAGAGGGCAGAGAGCAGCACTTTGGAGCCTCCCCCCTCCACTGCTACTTTTTCACAGCCATGTCAGCATCACCGTTATCTCTCCTGCTGCGTATGTGTGGGCTGGATTATTCATCGCTACCAAAAATACATTGGTTTACTTTTACAAAGCTGGATCAGCCTGAAGAAGAGAAGACTCCAGGGAGACCTTATAGCTCCTTCCAGTACCTAAAGGGGGCCTACAGGAAAGATGGGGAGGGACTCTTTATCAGGTACTGCAGTGATATGACAAAGGGTACCTGTTTTAAACTGAAAGAGTGGAGATTTAGATTAGATATAAGGTTTTAATGTAAGGGTGGTGAGGCACTGGAACAGGTTTTGCCCAGAGAAGTTGTGGATGTTCCATCCTTGGAAGTGCTCAAGGCCACTTGGACACTGGATGGGGCTTTGAACAACCTGGTCCAGTGGTTTGTGACCCTGCTCATGGCAGGGGGGTTGGATCAAGATGATCTTCAAGGTCCTTTCCAACCCAAAGCATTCTATGATTCTATGATCTCACCTCATAAAGAGTTGGACCGATGCATTGGAGACATCCACACAATACCAGTGGCAAAAGAAAAGTTTCATTTCATTTCCCTGCAACTTTTACTTTTGGAAACAGCAATGTTTGCACAGATGCAGGCAAATGTTCCTGAAAATGTAAAGTTTTTAAGGCTGTTATGCTCCAGAAGGAGTAAATAGACTGTTCACTAATGCTAGGCACAGCACATCCTCAGCAGTTTAGCTGCTAAGTGTTGCGGTACATATGCATAAATAAGATAGTCATGGTGACTTCTAGGCTAAGTTACCTTGAAATTACTGTTCTGCAAACATAAATAAGTCCCTCACTGTGCTGATTTTATTTCAGTTTAGATTTGTGGGGGGTCACTGGGCCAGATTCTGCTCACAGCCTACTCTTCTACATCCTAGGGTGGTGAACACCACCTCAAGGCTGGCTTAAGTTTCAGTGCATAAAGACAATGACTTCAATTCAAGGGTGAAAATTCTAAAAGTTATTTTGAAGTGCAAGTTAAAAAATGTTTAAATATTCTCCACACATTCCAGCTTCTCAGTGTTGGCTAAAAGCCCTTTGTAAAACACAGTGGTTCCCAGAAGCTTTTGCCTCTTAGGATGAGGGATGGTGGCAAGAAGTAAAACCCGTTGTAAAACTGGTCATTAGGCAGCTTTAATCAATTTTTATCTTGCACTGTATTTCAGATACTGTGGGCACAATGGTGGAATTTGTCTGACTTGTAGCACTTTATCATTAGTTTTTATAACTTTATTGGAGACGATAGTGGTTAATGAATATTGTAGATTTCCGTACAAGTCATGCTGGCAAATTTATGTGGGGTGCATTTTTATAAACTGAAAATTCAGCTGTTGATTGCTTTCAGCCCATGAAATGATACCTTTCCCTGCTGCACAGGTGCCACTGAGATTAAGATAAATGTGCAGGCAGGTGCCATTCGGACAAGGGAGTCCTTCCTTTCAATGGAAATCTTGTTCCTTTGGCACCTTGATCTCACTGGTTCACTTCAAAGTGGGGTAGGATTCATCTGGTTTAACAACTAGACATCTTGTCCTGAGCCATCTGAGCATGAGCTACTCACCCTGGGCTCACCAGGGGATTGACGGTAGAGATTAAATACCTCCATAATGAAACTTACCTGACCACTCTTAAATGTCTACCCTTGCTGAGAATATGCCCTCTAGATACCTCTTCTCAGTCTCTGACTATAAAGGGACCCTAATCTTAGATATACCCAGCTAATTTTTCTGGAACCTGAATTAGGGCTGATGAATCCCAATGTAAAATGCCGTTTCCATGGGCAAAGGCCATCAAACCCATGGAATTCGATGCCAGGTGACAGTGGCCTTGCAAGGGATGCAGTAAAATACAATGGGCCAGATCAAACAAGCAAGTTTCTGACTTTCACAAGTTTCTGACCCTTCCAATGAAAAGCAAACCCCATCTTCCTCAGTCTTTCTTGCAGTAAAGCAGATTCTAATGTTCAAGGCTGCCTGCCAGATACCACTGAATACCTAATTGTTGATCTATTTTCTAGCCTAATTACTGCTTAAGCCATTGTGTTGCTGAAAACCTAAGGCCAGGTTCTGACACCTTTAATACATCAAACAGTGCCTATTTTCATGAGTAATTCTGATAAATGAAAAAATTTCAGGAACCTCATATATTAAGGTAGGCATTTGTTCATGTAAATGAGAATCTTTGGAAAAAAAGTCCTCCTGGATCCTTAGACACAATATTTAGCTCTCCAAGCAGAATGCAAACACTGGAGATAATTTTTTTTCACAATGTAAATTAAATAAAAGCAAAGCCATTACACAAATGACATAAAATTAATCGTCTGTGGTTTACAAACTACCTCTTTTTTCCATTCAAAGTTGCATAGTGTCTTTATGACAGGTATGTTCATATATTAATTGCAACTAATGGGAGAAAAAAAATATTTCAAGAAGGGTTTAGGCACGTTATTCAGCCAGCAGCACCGTTATTTATCTTTCATTGAAGTGATTGATAATGGAAATTTGTAATCTCTGTCCTTCAGCACAAAGCTGCTTTTACAAACACTGTGGCTTTTCTGTGCAGTGAGAAACCTAGGTATCTCCAAAAGCACCTAGAAGCAGTGTGTCATAACATCTGTCAGAAATTTATGGGCCACTACTAGATAGAAGATCACATCATAGGAGCCTTTTATTTTTCTAATAACTTTGTGTGTGATGAATGATTTTATGCTGCAACTTAATAATTTAGTTCATGTTCTATGACAATACGTCCCACCTACCTTAGAGATCTGTGTCACAATAAATATGTGTAAGGCCCAAGTTTAGCTGTTCTTACACCATCTACATCTCATCTACAGCTCAAGCATCTCAAGAACTTTGCATGAGAAGTATAAAGAATCACTGAAATACATTATGCATCAAAACCTAATTGTACATGTTGTTGCTTTCCTCACTGCAAAGTTTCTAATCAGACCTTGACTTTTGTTTGAAGGCACCTTCTTGCAGATGAAAAAAAATTTCTCAACAAGGAGATTATTGAATAGCACATGACTTAGCCATTCATCTGATTTAGCCCACTGATAGGAATCATAAGACATTTATATAAAGCATAGCCATAAGAAATTTTCAATATGACCTCATGTTCCCAGAAATGATACATTTCTATCTTGCTTTATCAATAGGATGCAGTGTTTTGTTTAAGGTAAAGAAAAATCTAACATGAATTTGGAGCAGACAGACATCCATTTTTTGTTTTTGTATCATGTGAATGGCTTTCTCCTTGCTGCAACAGTTAGTGCATAAAACCAAAGATAAATGTCGTTAACAGATGGTGTTGACCCCGTAAGTGCATTCAATGCTATTTCCATTAAATGAATGGTCTTGAAGCCTAGTAATCAACACCCTTCTCTTCTCAACCCAACCTTACATTTGACAGCACAATTTCCATCAGATAAAACCTCCACAGGTAACCTTCCTAGGGTCAGGGACAGACTGCCAATCTTCTTGTCTTTCTAACCTACTCAGAATTATGCACATTTAGAAAATAAGTCTAGAAACAGGTTTCCAATGAAAGTTGTCTGTTTTCATAGCACTTTTTCTCAGCTATGGAAGCATATGGTTAAATACAAGAATAGTCTTGTTTAAAGGCTGCTGTTGTGAGATGTTTCAGGAATTTATAATTCTTCTTTTTTGGATCACAGCTCAGCAGTAGACATCAATGGAAGTTCTATTTTTTCACTCTTGAAGAAAAATTATCTGTAATTTATTTCCATTCTTGGAAACATTTTTTTCAAAGTTACCATGAAAACAGCATTTATATTAACAAATGCACAGCTAATCAACATACCACATCCTGACATCAGGTGTGTTAACTTTTACACTGTTAATCATATAAAATGATAGATATTTACAAATGTCCATGCTTGAACATAATAGTATATTGTTAGCTCACAAAAATACTGTAAATAACTTCCCAGAAAACACTTTGCATTCAGCCAATAAACCCCATAAATCTTCTGAACTGATCTAGTGTGAAATGTCTCCTCCCAGATCTTTTCACTACAGCAACATAGCTCTTCATATCATTAGTGCTGTGCCATTTCTTAGAACACTTTCCACATTTGTAAGGCTTTAAATTCACCTTTATCACCTCTGGGTTTTAGTTTGCCAGTAAAGGTAAATTTACAATGACTCCAATGACTGGTATGGCTCCAGAGCTTAATTATGTTACTGTTGATTATTATCACTTGCATGAGAATATACAGCATCCCCGTCATGCACAAGCACATCAGTTGTGTTAGATATTTCCCACATAATGCCATATGTTTCTAAAGAGTTTCCAATCTGGTACCTAGATGTTTTGTTTTAAGTCTTATAACACACACCAAGACCCTTGGTATTGTTGACAGATCTAGAAATTTGGCAGCTTCATAAGACTGTACACTGGAGTTCAAGCTTGTCATAAAGTAATCAAATTTCCTTGGATGTTTGCTTTAAAACTCCTTTTTCATGCTGTACTCTTGCATTTTCATACAAATGAGTCTAGCATGGTACTTATTTAGACAAACAGTAGCTTCCCAGACTTAAAAAATGAAGTCCTACCTTCAATAATGTTCTCTTAGAAAACCTGCTATGAAATATTGAACTAGAATGGAAGCAGTGATTTTTATAAATTGGTATTATTTTCCCCTCCCACTTTTTTCATCACAGGTCAGGAAAGATTTGGAAACATGACCAGAGTATATTACAGAGAAGCCATGGGGGCCTTTATTGTCTTTGATGTTACAAGACCTGCAACATTTGAAGCAGTGACAAAATGGAAAGAGGATTTGGACTCTAAGTTGGTTCTTCCAAATGGCAAACCTGTGCCAACAGTCCTCCTAGCAAACAAATGCGACCAGGGAATAGATGTTCTTATGAACAACGGCATCAAGATGGATCAGTTCTGCAAAGAGAATGGGTTTGTGGGCTGGTTTGAAACATCCGCCAAGGTAACGTTTCCAATTCTTTTTAAATGTTTATCCGAGTACAGAGAAATTGGTTCATAAGGCAGTTCACACAGTCGAAATGTGTACCTTGCAGAGCTCCATTCTTGGAGGAATTAATTAAAGGTTAATTTTGAAATGAATACATTTCTAATTGTTTATTGAAAAGCAAACTATATGCAACGTTTTGAAGTGCAGCTGCTCTAATATGATTGGCCAGCAGTAAAGTATGTAACGGGCCAACAACTTACTGCGTAATAGCCTGGAGAGGAAGATGACCTTTGGCAAGATACAAAAGCTACCTCTTATGAATGATATGAGGATATTTTTCATAATTCTTAACAGTGAATATTATCTCTAAATATTTATATAACCACTTTGCCTGAGAAATGCTGATTCGAGACAACAGTTTTATTGTGTTAGATTCCAGAAAAAAAGTTAGTCTATTGTAGAGCTTGTATGATGCTTACTGTTGTAAGATCTCATTCTCAAAAGCCTTTTCAAAAAAGCCGTATATCTGGGGAGAGAGGAAGGAAAGATCAGTGGTCAAAGTGCTGAATGAGCTTCTCTGAGGTTCAGTTCCTTGCCTTGGTACAGATTTCCTGATCGCCTACAGGAAAATGGAGATAAAAACCAGAAAGGGCACTGGGACTTTCAGGGTAAAAGGCCCATGGTACAGTGCTCCTGTACATCAATTTGAGATTTCTCAGATAACCTCACTGTGTGCAAGATTTGGAGAGCTGGAATGTAAAATACTGATTTGAACACAACAGCTGAATGGATATTATGTTTACCGTGTTCTCTGATTATAACCTGGTGTCATCATTAACAGCTTTAGAGAATGTCTGAATGTTTTAAATGTGAACAGTTTGGCTGTGTTTGACCTAGATAGTAGACTGAAAGTCAAAATGCTGCATTCACTTTTAAAATTTATTTTGAGGACTTCAGGAAAGTTACTTAAATACCTTTGGAGTGTATAATTGTATTTTGCTTTTCTGGTCTTGTCTTCTTTAAGCATTAATACTTAAAAAAGTCTCACTAGTAGTCAGCAGAAGTAACACCAGGTGACTAGCGGCATGTCCTAGTCTGCCTCAAGCATTGCACAAGCTCTGGGCTGAGATGTATTTGTGGTCAGTGTCTTTGCTTTCCTACAGAATCAGCCTCAAAACTAGTCACTATTTCTTCAAAATGCAATTTTTAGGGAGACATTTAGGTCTAGGAGAGTGTGTAAATTATCTTGCTCTGCAGACAGGTTACTTCTTATTCCTGCATGTGCAGTACTTGATTTGAATTCAAGTCTGTGATGATTTCTGCTGAATGATTTCTCATTGATGAGGTCACCAGAATCCAGTGTTCCTCTCTACGCTAATCAAATATTTACTATGGACAGTGGCTAGTTCTGATTAAGAAAGAGGCCAAGACCTCTTACCTCAGATTGTGGCAGAAAGCTAATTATTCTAGGAAAAAAAAAAAGAAAACTTTGAGAGCAAAATATCCGGAATAGCAGCTGCAAAAAGAAGATGTGGAGAGTTAAGGGGATTATTACAGGACAAATTATTATTATTTGTATAAGAATTGCATATTCTGCCCCTTTTTAATATTTTGTTCATTGTCCAGCTGCCTTTCAGGCCACAAATAACATAAAATATTTGGTTGCAAGGTTTCAGGCTTCAGTTCAACAATGCTGAGTAACACTGTGTATGACTGTTTCCTTCAGAATTATTTTTTCTTCATTTCTGACATGTACGTGAGCCTACATTTCTTGGGGACAAGAACCAATTCACTGAAAAATAAGACCTGAGGGCAAATCCGTCACAAAAATCATGTGGAGAGAAATGAATAGCAGATTGTTTTAAAATGCCTACATCTAAGAGACTTCAAAGAGAATCAGAGGGAACAAGATGGACCACTGTTTAAAGGGTACAGGGCCATAGTTTCATTATTCTAGGTTTGGATCAGCAAAGTCATGCAGCTGGTCACTGCTCTTTGGCCGATGAGAAAAGAATCTGTACCATTAATTCCGTACATCAGTCCCAAGAAAGCACCTGCCACCTCTTAAAAAGAGCAACCACATTTATCATGCCAATGGCTATTGCAGGTCATGGAAGAGAACAAATGTAAAAATGATTTCAAAGGTGGCAGAGAGGTTTTACTGTGATGATGGAGCCAGTCTTGGGCAGAACTAGGGAAGTGTAAAGGACATGAAAAGTTTAAAAAAGTCACAACAGAGGGAAATTCAGTCCAAGTTTTTCTATGCCACATAGAATTAGGATTTTGAGTTATTTTAAACAAAATAAATATCTAGATATTTCTTACTTTATTTGACTCAGAAACTCAAGCAGTCCTCAGGTTTCCAGTGCAATCATGTAGAAACACAAAGAAATCCAGCTATGACAAGACTTGTCTTCAACAGCCGTTGTAAAGGCAGCCTTGAGAGTTGAGGACACCTGACTCTGTTAGCAGACTGTTCTCTGCTGCTACAGACCAAAGGCTGGGATTTGTTATTCTGCAATCCCCACACCTAATTTCCACCCAGAATTGGAGGCTCCTGACTTTGAAATGATGCAAAAAAGAGCAATTCCACTAAAGATGGCAGAATCACAACATTTAGGCTAAGTTAAAACTGAGCAATTTCCCCACTTGGTCTAAGTTCTGAACTAGAACCTACACATTTTTTCCTAAACAAAAGTTATTATTACTGTTATTTTTTAAAATGCTGGATATAACATGTTTCTAGTATTCTTTCAGCCTAGAGCATATTAAATAATTGAACTCAGGTCTGGGGGAAAAACCTAGCTATGTTTGCTATAGAGAATGGAAACTTTCCTGAAGCAGAATAACACTGACAGAGAAGTCTTCATATTGAGGTAGCAGTTTTAGCAGTTCAAATAAATAATATCTCTGTTTTGTAGTATCCTGGAATAATTAGATCTCCAGAGGTTTTTCTGGAGGCGTGCTTGGAAATCTTACAGCCTTCAGAGGAAACTGAATATGATTTATGCATTTAGGGAAAACAAAGGTGATTATTTATAAATACATCTTTTGGTTGTGGTTGCCTTGCAGAAAGTAACATGCTATATATGCACCTACCGTATTTCAAGCTGTCAATGGTTTGAATTTTTTACCTGTAGCATTGGCAGACTACACCAAAAATCATCACTGCATTATTCCCTGCTGTTGTTTTTCTTAAGTTAACAACTTCAATATAAAGATTTTGAGCCACCTAATGTATTCTCATGTATTAGTTATGATTCTTACATTAATCTAAAGGAAATACTCAGCTTGTTCCAATCTCCTGCTGCCTACAAAGATAGAACTTGCTCTGATAGTTTGCCATGTAAGAAGGGCCTTGTGGGGCAACAGCACAATCCACTGTAGTCGTAGGTTACACATATCACCATATACGCAGTGGGAAGCCTGGTCTCTTTTACATACGGTTATTTGGTTTTTTTGCATTGATTGCAGTCTAAAAGGTGCACCCCTAGATAGTTGAAAAATAACCTTAATAGTAAATTCTTTAATAAATTTCATTATCACAACTATTGTGGAAGATGCGGCTTTTTAAAGGAAGGAAATTTCTGTCACACATTTAATTATCGCACGTGTGGCCACGGTAGCTGAGAGTCTCACACACATTTCCAAGCCTTTAAACTGTTTTTACCACCATTCTTAGTTCAAAGAGGCAAGCTTTTGACTTGGACTAGAAAAGCAGCAATTTCAAGCTTATTATCACTTAATAACGAAAATGGAACTTGGGCATCAAAACAGACAAGTCAGGCAAAAGTAAACGTGCTTGAAAATACCTACTTCAGAAAAAAAACCTTGAAATACCTTACAACTGACCACAGTCGTGCTGTGATTATGCCTGCTGTAATTCTGCTGTCAGCAATACAGAACTAGGTGAAAAGACATTGACCAAATTGCCCAGAAGGGCTGGTAGCTGTGCTTTTCAGACCTCTACCAAAGTAGACCAAGCACACAGCTCCTTCTCTGCTGAGCATCGTGGCCTGGACACTGAATCACTGAGTCTCTGGGCTGTTTAGACACATCCTATTTAGACCATGAAAAAGCTAGAGAGTCTTTCCTCCTCTCAGAAACATGGATGATCTGTCCTTTCTCCAGCTTTTCTCTGACAGGCAGTCCACAGTGTGTCATAGTGCTCAAATGCTGGACTACTAATCAGGAGTTGTCTTTGCCACTGATTTACTTGGTGACCTTCAGAAAGTCATTCTTGCCTCTGATCTTCTTCCACAGTGCAAGGACAGCAATTCTGCTCATTTTACCAGTGAGCTCTGTGAATGTACCAAGATCTACTACCCCTTGCTTAAATCATATTATTCGGTTCTTCTGACCGGACAATTATTATGAAAGATGAAAAAAACCCCAAGCTATTCTGTAGACTTGCAGCGGAACAGGATACGTAGCTTTGATTTCCATAAAGACAAACGAGGCTTGGACACGTATTTGAATTAGGCTGACACACTACAGCTAATCTGCTGATCTGGTCACTGAAACCAAAGCAATCCATCTGAGACTGCCAGACCCAGTTAGGGATGTGTAGTTCCCTACATAGTCTTTTTAATTAACCCAAAAAAATGTCTAGCCAATCTCACTGCACAGTCTTAGAAAATATTTCAGCTTCTGCCATAAACCAAGAAATGAAACTGACACCTAAGACAGAAGCTTTCAGCTCAGATATACAGTCACTCCGTGCAGAATCCTCCGAAGAGTTTGTTTCCTGTGACCAAGAGAAAAGGATTTGCTTCGGATCATCCTGCAGGTATTAGAGCTGTCCTACAGCTCTCACTTTTATGAAATATGTTATTTAGTGCTGGCCAAAATCTGGAAATTCACAGAATCACAGAATTGCTGAGGGTTGGAGGGGGCCTCTGGAGGTCATTTAGTCCAACAATTTTCTTGGAGAATATTCAACCAGCTCTAAGAATTCAATTACAGAAATTATCTTGTTCTCAGGGTTGCAGTCACAGCAGTTCCCATCCATGAATTTCATGTTCATGCATCTGTTCATGCTTTTGACTTGTTAGGTTGTGTTTTCCTAGAAACGCAACCACAACAGTATGGCACAAGATCTTAATAAGGCTCTGCTGCCAATGGCTTCCCAGGGAGCTCTCCTAAGGGAGCATGTGGAGCCGTTCCCTCAGATTGCATGCTCCAGGGGAGTGTAGCTTAAAACATCTTGAAGGTCATATCCCTGCTCCTGGATTTTAGTGTATTATAGAAATAAAATGTGGAAACTGTGATTCTTACTAGGTTCCCATCTAATACCTGACTATTTCAGAATTTGTAAATGCTTACTTAAGGGAGGTTGATTTCCATTTACTCTAGCAGTAGAGTCTAAGGTCACGTCTCTCAGTGCTGGCTGAGACCTCCCCAGGTGCCCATGTTAGGTACCTACGCCTGCATACATGTTGTTCTTCACACTGACTTTCAAGGTAAGACTCTGAAGCATCAGATTCAGTCAGAGAAAGAAGGTAACCAAATGTAGAAAGGGAGCAGTTTTATACCAGAAAGCAACCAGAAGAGAAGAGAAGAGAAGAGAAGAGAAGAGAAGAGAAGAGAAGAGAAGAGAAGAGAAGAGAAGAGAAGAGAAGAGAAGAGAAGAGAAGAGAAGAGAAGAGAAGAGAAGAGAAGAGAAGAGAAGAGAAGAGAAGAGAAGAAGAGAAGAGAAGAGAAGATTCAAGTCTGAACTGCAGCAGTCATCACAATTCCTGTGGTGTTTTGTGCAGAGCAAAAGGTCATAAAGGAGATGACAGTTAAGGCATTTCAACATTAAGACCCACTGAAAGACGCCATTTCACTCTGTTGTCCCACCTGTATTTTCTTCCTGTTTTGCAATGTAATTTATTTTATTTTTAAGCATAACTGGAGCAGTTTTCCTGTTTTAGTACCATTATTAGGGTGTCTGTGATTATTCCTCTCTGTCCAATCTTATGCTCTGATTGTCGATCACTTTGTAGTTGTTGGGTGGATTTTCACCTGCTCCTTTTTCTCTGTCCTTCCCTAGATTGCCTTTCAACACCTCCTGCTCTCTAAAATTACCAGGGTTCTGGGTGTCTGTGTTTGGATAGCAGATCACCTTCTACTGTTTGCAGCTGCTTCACTGCCTAGCAGAATATTGATTTTTATTTTTTTCAAAGCAGACTGTGGGAGGAGAAGTGCAGAAATCAATATTTCATTATACAGACCAGAATACAGCCAAGTGTAATCCACAGACCTGGGACACCGAGCAGACACCGTAGGATTAGGGTTGTAACAAAAGGCAATAGTAACATCAGAAAGGAAGTGGTCAAGGCACAGGGCTGGGACAGTAGCAGTTGCTTTGTTTGCACGAGCACATGCTCCTTGCAGCAAGGGACTTAACATCTTACATCTCATCTGTCCCATGTACCACTGGTGATCTCAACCATGGGAGAAGGCTGGAGCTAGACACAAGCTCAAAAACAACTGTACTGTCTGCCAGAGTAATTCTTTCTCTCTTGCTCCCCTTCTACCCCAGCAGAAATTTTCATCCTTAGTGAACAGCTTAAACAGTTCATATGAACGTTCAGGATAAAAAAAAAATGCCGCTCTGATCTGACACATGCTATAGATGGGACTTTTAATTCTTTTCCTCTCATACAGAACAAAAGGCAGAATTTTAATTGCATGGGTACAAATGCTTTAAATGGTGAATACTTGCAAACCAGCATGCTTTACTTGAAGGAGTAAGAAGCCAGTCACAAATTTCATCAGGTGCCTCTGGAGGGATGGTTCCCGTGCAGAGAGGAAGGTGTGCATGGACTAGAAGCAGAAGGCTTTTCGGCTGGAATGGCCAGAGCTGGGGATGATCTCTGTCTGTATCTAATCCCATTTCACAGATATTCAGTAGGTCTGGGCAGACACCTACCAGGGAAACAGAAAATTAAATCAAAAATGCAATTAACAACATAATAAAGAATACAATCAAATACAGTATATCATTTCATTAATAAGGAGAAAGAGCAATGCAGAAAAAGAGAAGTATTTAACTTTCCTATTCCCCAAACTGAATATTTTGGGGATTTTTGTCAAAACAATACTCGCAAGTTAAAATTTGTCTTTCTTCCTCCCCAAAAGCTATAGAGGTATAAACTTGGTTTAATAATCCAGTTTCACTTTGGTTTGAGTTCTGGCTGAAGTAAAACAGCATCCCAAGAGAGAAGCAGCACATAGGTAAATGAAATGCTTATCAGTCCATTAATAAATGAAAACACAATGCAAAAGAGTTTTAAGAGCATTTTTTTGTCTATTTAAAAATTTTATTTTATCTTCAGCTTTCTAAGCAGTACTGAGATATTTTTCATTGTCTATTTTTTGGAATAAAATTTCACAGTGTCCTGAAAAAGACTTTTGGTGCATGCTTGAGGAATTTTTTTGTCTGGTCTGAGAGAGCCACGTGACACAGTAACATTTTAGCATCTCAGTACAGAGCTGATTCCCAGCTCCGTATTACTTTCTAGGGGTTAGTACATAAATGACTAGTCTAAAGATTTTGGCTTTTACATCCAACTGATATTCTTTACAGCTCAAAGTTCAAATGTTTAAGTTCATTTGTGTAGTTGGAGAAAACTGTGAAATCTTGGCACTGATTAACATTTTCAGTTAGATCCCCAGATTTCAACTCTATACCGTAGTGCAAAGAGATGGTCAATGGAGATTGTGGAACTTTGCTGTTGATTGCAAGAGTGTTAGAAATCAGCCTCACAGAACCCATTATTTTAGCTTTTGATCTTCATGTAATTGTACTATATTGAAGCATGCACACATGTACCTTTGTTTCCTTTTTTTTATAGTTGGACTTCATAATTAAACAACTCATCTGACTTTTTGGAACATAAAAGTGAAAAAATAAGTTTCACATGTTAAATTTGGCAGGTTATTTTATCAGTGATGCTGAATTGATGCTGAGCGTTTGATGAAGGTAGACTTCATGGCATTGTATGTGTGGGTATTGATGGTCTCAGTACAAGAGACTCCAGATTCAGCTTGGAAATCTGTGTCAGTCTAAGATTGCAAATGAAAACATAATCTTTATGGATCAAGGGGAGAATGTGCATACAGATATACATACATATTTGTATGCATTTATATATCTCTGTGTCAGTCTAAGATTGCAAATGAAAACATAATCTTTATGGATCAAGGGGAGAATGTGCATACAGATAAATATATATACCTACATATTTGTATGCATTTATATATGTATTTATGTAAGAGTGTGATACAATTTGCCAGAAGATGAAGCTACCGTGAGGTTTCTATTTCGTGTCATATAAAATAAGTAATCAATGACAGCAGTTGGAGCAGAAGAGTGTCTTTTATATCAGCCAGAAGATGAAGCTACCGTGAGGTTTCTATCCCGTGTCATATAAAATAATCAATGACAGCAGTTGAAGTAGAAGAGTGTCTTTTATATCAGAAAGCTTGACTTTTCATTCCAAGCATATCAGAGGCTGTAATTAAAAAAAAAATCCTTACTCAGTATTACTGCTTATTTTATATGCTGTGCTGAGCTGTGTTTCCCTGATCAGACTGTTTCAGCTTTGCTTATTCTACAGAGTAAGGGTTGCTGCAAGTTAAATGTGCTGCTGAAGTAAGGCACATGTAGAAAAAGACGTGCTTTGCCTTTCGTTCTAAATCCCTGGAGTGAGGATTTCTGTCTTTCAGATGAAACCAATGGTGATATATCTCTTCTGAAGCAGTACATTGGAGATAAGTCAGCCTCAACAAAAAATAAGTGACGTCTCTGAGTGATATGGAATTTTTTTTACTGTTTTGTGAATAATTTGGGGTTGTATCATTTATTCAATGAATCTGGTTCATTACAGCTTTCATTGTGAGCATTGTATACAGAAATCTTTCTGAAACTGTGGAAAAGGCTTTAAAAAATAAGTGCTGTTGATAGCTGTGATTTCTGATAGGTAATAAATAATTTGAAAATCAGGGTAACCGTTAATCAAGCAGTAAAATAGGGATTTTGGAGTGTTACTTCAGGCATCTGTCTTTAACAGCCCTCTGGCATTTGTTTGTTTAGTTTATTGAAGCAATTAAATCACCAAGAGTTTGGGGCAATTTGAAGTGAACTCTGTGTAAAATTTAAAGGAGATATGGATCATAATATAAAAAAACCCAAACCCTAACTAACTTAAAAACTACAATAAGCATTACTTAATACAGTCAAATTTTAAAAGCTGTTTATTAAGGAAAGTAAACTTTTGATGTTGCCTAGAAAAAAGTTTAATTATGCACAGGAAACATGCAACATGGTGTAATTAACATTGACTAATCAACCTCTCTTTCTCTTTGACTTTCAGGAAAATATAAACATCAATGAAGCTTCCAGATGCTTGGTGAAACACATAATTGATAGTGAGAGTGATCCAGTTCAGTCGGTTGAACCAGATATTGTAAAACCACACTTGAATTCCTCCAAGATTGTCAGTTGTTCAGCTTGCTTTAAATCCTAAGAGACTTCCAGACTACGGCAAGAGCTGAACTATGATTCACAATGTATACTTTATGCAACATACCCAGTCTGTCCAGATTGTCCATAAGCAGATTGCCATTTCCTCAAAAATATCCTTAATTTTTTCCATAATTTTTGGACAGCTAAAATTTACTATGAGCTGTTCATTGATAGCAACTTTTTAAAACTGTCTTTGGCTACTGATCAAATAAGACTCTTGGCGATGGCTGTATTTTCCTGGTTGAGTACCACCACCAACGGTATCAAAACCTATTTCTTTGCAATGTAGTTTCTGAAAACTCCTATTTGTGATGTAACTGCATCAATACCCTACTTGTCCAATGGTCGTGCAGCCTATCTTCTCAATAACCAGGCAATCATCATCATTACACTGTTTTGTCACCCCTCACACTTGAATGTCTTGTTTCATATGAGGAAAATGATGATGACAATGAAAATCTGGCTGTTCAGAGACAACAGGAATGCTCACAGTGAAATATTTCCACTGCAAATTCAGTCTCCTGGATGAAGTGGCAGGACAGAACATGAAGCAATCTTTCATGCCATTCAGTTCTTCAGAAGATCTCACCTTCTGAGACTGAATCCTGACATAGTATTAGCTGCCCCTTTCTGAAGAGTTACCCTCTCATAGCTGTTAGCATTGTCTTCAGGTGAAGGAACATGGAAAAAGTTGAGGGTGAGGGGTGACAAAACAGAGAATCAGGGGTACAGTCTCATAGGTCAGGCGGCTGAGAGTTTTAAAAAAGGTCACCTATTCTAGAAAGCCAGCAATTCTTCTGAAAAACATTCATTGATTTTGTTCCTTCCTCTCCATCCGTCATGCCACAAATGTTGTCCTTGTGTGTTTGAAATGTATATATTCTGTAAGTCCCTGCATACATCCCTCCATTATGTTGATTCTCATGGGAAAATTCACTGTCCACACTATAATGTAACAGATGAACTTTTCAGGAACCTTTATGTGTTGAACAGCAGAGTATTTGCTTTCTGACAACACTTTTCTAAAGAACACAATTGTATAAATGATCATAGGAAGCAAAATGAAACAGTCCTAAGAAACATTCCTGGAATATGTGTGGAATTTGTTGAGCTGTGCTGTGGAAATGAAATGGTTGATTTTCAAAGTCTCACAAAATAGGCAGGTTGGTGGAGTCATTCAGACAAGTGTGTCTAGACAAGAAGTCTTGACAGCTGGCTGCAAGCGAGACAAACTTTACCTGTCTCCTGCCATAGACAAATCATTTCCCTTTTCCTGTTCTTACTCAGCCTTTTCCTTCCTAAGCTGTGAAAACTCAGTGGCAGGAGCTGTCTACTGAGGTGGGTTTCTGTCCTTAGAGGTGTGTAACACCGTTAAGGGGAGGAGGCAGAATCTCATGACACCTTGTGTTTGCAGACACCACTGCAATACTTCACTGAATATTTGGAAATGGAGTGAAACTCTCCAAGGCTAGGAAAAACAAGTAGGAAAAATGACAAAATAAAATAAAATCCTCAAGGTGACCTTATCCTATAGACCTACGGGGTCTGTGTGTCTCTAAAGTTCAGCCTATTACTGAATAACGTGTTACTATACAGGCACTGTGGAGGAAAGCCAGGGACAGAGACATAGCTCTTTACGTGCTCTTCCTAAAGCCTGAAACTGATATATTTTTATCACAGAATTTTACAATAAGAAAACAAGCTCTGTGGTTTTAAAAATAAAAAGCCACATCCAGAATTAATCTGCACGCACACATAGATGTAAGGATCTGTATATATAATGAGCTGGCTTTTTTTTTGAGAAGAGTAATTTTCAAGTCATCTTGATCTCAGTGTTATCCTTTGACAGCCCTGTTAAACATCCTTTAACTCCTGCTGTGATCTGGGTCAAATACCTTAACCTTTCTGCCTCAGTTTCCTCATCTGTAAAATAGGGATTGATGTACACACCTACCTCACAGCACTCCTTGAAAGTTAAATGTTGGCACCGTGCTTTGAAGATATATCTTATACAAATGCCAAGCTCTATTACTGCTCAGAATGAAATATGAGTGCCCTCTAGCATAAATACATGGTGCTGTAATGCCTTAATGTTCTAATTCTATCCAGGGTTTGTCTGTGCTGCAACAATTAGCTCCAATTATTCCACCTCAGTTAACCTAGTCGAGGTTATAAGGAGACGTGTGACTGCATGGGATGATTCAATTAGCTGCAGATGGGTTGCAAACGGAAACTGTGGCTGCACAGATGTCATGGTACTAGTTTAATAATCCCAGCAACAGAGCTGCAATTCAGAACCAGTGTCAGGTCAGCTGTTTCAAGTGTAAAGCATTATTTAAGTCAAGTCATATGGATGCCTTATTAAGGATAACACTTAATTTATACCTTGAGTCAACACTGGGAGGAACACTAGCACCTAGATATTCAGACAGCTTCTAAAGGGCTAAGTTTTTATGAGTTGAACCCTGTGCTTTAATTATAAATCTGGATGCCTCAGGTGAAGCAGAGGAAGTTGTAATTTCTTTCAAAAATTATTTTGTGCTCAACTTGCAACTAACAGAACAGTTGCTAATGTGCTTTACTTATCTTCAGATCACTTGTCTTTGGTGGCTTCAAGCCAATATTCACTAAGCATAATGATAATTTTCACAAATGTTTGAGAGCTATGGCTAAAGATCTGGTATAACACTAATTTAAAAACCACATAAATAAAAAAGCAGGTTTGTATAAACCTGCTTTAAACTATGAACTCATCGTCTGTTCCCCTTGTTTCTGTTGTGTCAGGTTTCACTGTATTCAGTTTTGGGGTATATTTTCTACCTCTGGCAGATGATGGACAGAATTTGGCCAGTTTCTAGACTGAGGACTATACAAGTTATAAGTTCCAAAGTTGTACATATTTACACCATAAGAATTAGAAGAGTATCATGAAGAATCAGGCTTCCTTAGGAGGTTACATAATTCCAAATGTTCATTTTTATTTGTACTGAAGTGATAAGAACCTGTCAAGTCTCTTTCTATAGCGCAATAAATGTGTGAATGCCACCTGGGTATCTAGCAAACAGAGCCTTCTTAGAAGGGGTTGTCATAGGCAGGCCAGAATAAAAGCTTTAATGTAGAATTAATGAGCTCAGTTTGTGCCAATACACTTTCAGGAACAAATATAAAATTTAATTATACTGTGTCAGTCCCTAACAGGTTGGATTTCCTTGTTTTATATTGATACATTCTGTGCTAAGTCCTCTTTGCTTGTCATTAGGGACCAAGCTCCTTAATTGCATGGCCATTTCAAAATGAAACATTTTCCCCATCTGTTTGCAATAGGTAATAAAAGACACAAGTCTCTATTGCCATCCAAGTGGGCAAAGGTACTGCAAAGTGGACTTAAAATTCATTTTCATTCTAGTTCTCCATAAAAGCCCCTCTGGGCGTCTCAGCACCTGGAGCCACAGGCTGATGCACAGGTGAGGTGCTGGGCATGAGGGATCAGCCCAAAACACTCATGAAAAATGGTGGTTGAGCAACTCCACCCCAAGGCATCATTTACCAACTCAGCCACAACACCAATAATGACAGGATGTCTTTCATTTTCCACCTTTGAAGCTGCCTACAAACAAAATCTCATGATCCTAAATACCCTGGGAAGCATATACATATTACTGATAGGAATATGGGTGGAGTGAAAGGTAAATATTAGTCTATTATTCCAGAAAGATCATAATTTATTTGACCAAGTTGAGCTTTCATCAGAAAGCCATTTGGACTCTGCAAATTAGGCTTTGTTCTCCTTTTTTTTTAGATCATCTATTTTCATTGAACTTTTATATTCAGGAATAGTTGTTCCCAACAGTACCTTGTGTATGCAGCTTGAATTGTTGTACATCAATATTTATCTGCAAACTTTTTTTTTTTTGCTTCTATTTTAACCTACCTGACCATATAAAAGGAGGAGGGAGAGAGAAGGTGCATGTTTAAATAGCAGTTTTGGTTTACTTCTTAAAACAGCTTGTCTAGCTGGTGAAGTGAAATTGGTAAAGACAAATGTATGGGAAATGCAATTTTATGTCAATTGCCAGGAAACAAACAATGACAATATATTTTACTGCACCAATATTTATGCATGTGGCTGCAGGTTCTACTGTAATAAAATATGATATTTCTGACAAAACATGGAATATGAGTATTTTGTAAAATTAATTCATTAACCAAAGTAAGTACATACAGGCAGAATTGTAGAATCGTAGAATGGTTCGAGTTGGAAGGGACCTTAAAGATCATCTAGTTCCAACCCCCCTGCCATGGGCAGGGACACCTCCCACTAGACCAGGTGGCTCAAACTGGTCTGAAAAAATGGCTACAAACTAATTCAGCTCTCCTCATATGTAGCCAATCTTTGATGTATATATATGTATATTGATAGTTTCATTTTGACTGTTTACTTTCTATACAACCTCTCTTTTAAACCATCTAGGTTAGTGTTTGACATTGATTAAAGGTTACATACCTGAGACAGAAGCTTTCCACCTTTTCTCCCTTCATCATCCTGTTTGATATGCAATTCCAGATGCAGCTTTTATGGATGCAGCTCTTCAAAGAACCTCAGTTCAAAGTCTAATTTTACAGGCAGACTTTTTGGCTCACAAATAGATGCACCATCAGTTTGGGGGCTCATTATTAACCACATGCTCAATTCTTGGAAGTCTGGCTGGGTAATAAATGGCCTATATTTGCAAATTGGGCAGCTGCATGTCTAGGGTGTAGGAACTGCATTTCTCTTCAGCTGTCAGGGCAAGCTGGTAACTGCAGCAATATTACACATTTGACCTTTCATTATTCCCTAGAAATATTAGATTTTTTTATTAATTGAGAAAAAAAAAAAGAAAAAGAGGAGATGCTTCCCTGCAGAGCGAGTTTAGTGTTTATTTTACAGGTTTCAGCTTTTCTGCAGCCACAAAAAGAAAATAACATTCTGGTTTTCTTGTCTTTTTTCATGAAGCAACCTGACATTCTCACACCCTATGGCTGGAGGTGCTGCAAGACCCACAGCCAAATCCCCAGCATTTGGTGACACTGTCACAGCTACACTGACCCATCAGCTCCATAATGAGGAAATATCTTTGACTGCACAATTTGGGAATGCTCATTTTCTGAAAATCATCTCCTTTACAGTGGCAGTGCATCAGCTGTCCAATTATGATTGGAATCTCTGTGTTTTATGTTTCAAATGCAGTAATAATAATTTACAAAGATAAGATATAAAACTGAGCAAAGCCGCAGCACGGGACTCCCCAGGGTGGAAGCTGAACAAACGAACATCTCCTGGTAGACTTCTCTGCATTTCAATAGCAGGAGAAAGTCATTCTAGTCTGATATTTGCCTGTTTTCTTCCAGGAAATGAGCTTTCACTTAAGCCATAGTAGCTCAGTTCTCCAGCAACTGGTAATATTTGCATCTGGCATCTACAGAGTTTAAGTAGTTTTAAAAGACAAGCAACAGTTTCTTTCAGAAATGGCATCTTTGTTAAAGGTTTAAAAGTCAGAGGTTATTTTGGTTGTCTAACTCCCATGCCCATCTATCCATGTGTCTTCTGGTTTTGTGAATTCGTGCCTTTGGCTTTCACAAACCATGCAAGGAAAGGGAAACTGCAAGATGGTCCTTTAGCAGAGACTCTTCAGGTACATCCAAAGTCCTGCAAAAGAGATAAGCATAATGAACAGGAAGGCAAGGAATACAACTGCAGGGAGCCAGGGTGAACAGAAGCATCTGGGACTGGGACAGAACCAATCCAAGAAGCACTGAAGGATGATGAAAGATGCTTAATAAGTTCCTCAGCGAGATTCAGAAATCACTTACTGAAAATCTGATGCAGCGTTAAACTTTTATCGCTTAGAGGTCTATGAATTTTCTAGGGCATCAAGAGCTATGTTTTTACCTTGTGTGCCTTGAAATTTGCTGCTTTACTGGCTACCTTGTCAAAAAGGCCTAACTTCTCTCAGGAATTCTCTCTCTTTGGCCTTTGGTGCCGTCTTCACACTTTAGTGAGGAGTTTTTGCCAGAGTCATTAGGGCTGAGACTCACGCTGCAGTCTTTCTGCACTTTGCATCAGATGATGCCTCTAAAGGCCTCTTTTCATCCTGCATTAGCATTTCTGATCACCGGTGACAGTCAGTAGTGCTGCAACACATGGCTGATAAAGAGGAAAGATACTTTAAACCATCCATAAACCAGTCTGCAGGCAAATTGTGCTAATGTGCCTTGTCTGAGCGTGGCTGGCATTTGAATAAACTAAAAAAGTTAGAAACATGACAGAAGCTAGAATGAGAAGTTTCCCAAAGGCAATTGCTTCTGGAAGTCTATGTCTTTTTCTGGGTAATATACAGCTAATGGGTATTTAAGGCTTCAATTGAGCTGGGTTGGTATGTCAATCCCACCCCAGGTATTTTAACTGTGGGAGGAAAAACTTGATTCCACACCTGAGTGTGATGTAGAGGCTGGAAAACACACAGCATACAGGCAGCATGTGAGGAGAAACAACAGTATTACACATATTCTGCATCATTTCACAAATTTCTTTGATTTTGCCTGACAAAAGCAATATATCGACAGAAGTAGACTATTTGACAAGACCCTGCATCTTCCCTGGGAACTGTGTATGCAAAAGGTGTTACTTCCAGGCGGAAATAAATCTCTGAGAGGTCAGTTATTACATGTAACATGACAACCAGAGAGGCCTCTCAAACCACTGACTGACTGTTAAAGTGAGCCTTTTTTCCCTGTTTGCTGATGGTTGTGTGCTTAATATGCAATGGGAGGCTCTGCATGTGACACCAGCTACACAGCTGTTTAGCCTGGATGTCTCCTGAACACAAAGGGAGGCTGTGGGGGGTTTTTATACCTGTTGTGATGGAATAAACCTTTCCTGTCATCTCATTGTGTTTTGAAGAGAAAATATAGTTTAGCAACAACTTTGCTTTAGTTGTATCTGCTAGATGAAAAAGGAACAGGAGTTACAACCTATTATTTTTCCCTTTAAATAAACTTGTTATTAGCTCATTTGGTCAATTAGTTCATAAAGCATAGCTTTTTATAAAGCATAAACTTCTAATTTTTTTAGCTAGGATGAATAGATTTCCTAAAAGATAGTCTGAATTGGTTGAATGAGCCAGGAGAAAAGGTATGTTTCACCTAAGCATTGCAATGGGACAAGGGGTTGTTAAATGATGAGATCACCTCACTCCCTTTAGATATTTTATAAACAGGATGTATATAATCCATAAGCTATGTAGGAGGATCCATGCATCCTAGGCAGATGAAAACATAAGCGCTGGACTGTAAAAATAGCCAGCATGCACAATAAACTTTTATGGTAATAGACCTTTTCGGTAACATATGAGAATATGAACCTTCTGCCATAAAACACAACATCGAAGTTCTACAATTTTTTAACAAACCTGAAAATGCAGAATATAATACAGTGTGTTTTCCATCTGTGCAAAGGTCATCTGGAGGCTAGGCAAGCACAGTTTAGGTCTAAGTGACTTTAAAATGAGACAACTTATCAAGGTGCCCTTGAAGGCTGTGAGGTATATTAGCTATTTAGACATACAAAGTAAATAGCATCAACCATATTTGGAATGAAGTGGGAATTTAAATGAAAAGCAAATCAAAGCAAATGTTGAAAGGAATAGAGAAATTAACAGGTCGAAATAAGTTGTTTTGTCAGTCTGCTTGACTGGCTGTTACTGTGTGCACATCTGGGAAGCCCATGTGTGTGCATGGTTCAAGGGAGCCAGCGTGCCCTGCCAGGGTCACCAGCTGCATGGAAAGAGGTTTGGTTCAAATCTGGGGACAGACTGTCCAAGCAGCATTCTGTCAGGGTCATGGTGAAGGATGTCACCTCCAGCTGTATGCCAGGTCACGATGCTGCTCTGAGAGGCTCCCAGGGGTGCGGCATCTTTGCGAGCTTCAGCAGGACAGTTTTTTGCTTGGACAACAGCTCTTTGACAGGAAAAAGTAATCATAGAATCATAGGATGGTTTGAGTTGGAAGGGAATGTAAATATAATCTAGTTGAACACTTCCAGGCATGAGGCATAATCCTATGTATTAGTCTACATTCCTCACTGTGCCATGGCATAGAGGTTCATTCTCCCTCCAGACTAGCACGGATGGGCACTGTGATACTGCTGGGTTGTTTTTCAGCAGAGGTGATGAGACAGAGTTCTGGTACATCCTTGGTGTACCAGATGATGTGATGATCCTACCAGAACCAGCTGAAACTCTTCTTTTGAATTTACTAATCCCAGGAGTGAAGATGCACTGGGAGATGTGGAGCACAGCTCTTCAGGTGAATGCTTCCTCTCCCTCCCATGCACTGTCCAGGTCAAACCCAGATTTGTCTCATATGATCTCATCAGGCCCTTAACACTGCTTTGCTGGGCTAATATTGAGATAGCAGGCGTCAAAAAGTTCAATGGTGACACCAGACAATGGACTCACTTCTCAAGTGTTTGGGGCAGAAAATGCTGACAGTATGGATCCCCTCACATGAATCACGAGGAGCTCAGGATGTTGTGGCAATTTCTCTGTGCTGTAGCTCATCTCCTCTGTTTGTTCAGGGGGAAATCCAAGTCCCAGGTAGTGATTTGGGTTCTTGGCAAGTGGGAACAGGGACTGATAGCACACAACCTCAGCTCAAGCATGCAGTTGAAGAGCACATTACTCCTGTCTCCTGATGAAGCCAGCACATGGAAATGGATTCAACGTGTCATGCAAGCCAGCAGTTTACAACTCCTGTAGAGTCCTACCTGTGCTTTGTTAGCACAGCCCCATACCGCTTCAGATGCAGTCTTGCCCAGCACTGATGGAACTCTAAAGAAAAGAAAGTCAGACCTGAAAGGGGATGAAAGCATTCGGTGGAGGACACAGCTCGAAATCCAAAATTGCTGTCCTCAAAACACAGAGGCTGCTGCCAGCCCCGAGATGCCCAGCTCTGCAGTGCCGCAGCTCCTGGCAGTGGCAGTGCTCCAGGTGCCTCAGCTCTGCCTCCTGCCATGCTCACGGATGCCTCCATGGTGACAAGACTGAGTAGCTTAA